TTAAAGAATTTGACATTCTTAAGGTGATATGTTATCAAGGAAAAGCGGTTTCTGACGTTTGATTCTTCATCTTCTGGCATAACTTCTGCGACCTTATCATGGTTTTCTGTGAAACGAATCTGATTCAATTATTGATCAAAACCGAGGATCTTCTTCCCGAGGCAATATGAATTTATACCTTTTTTCAAAGTAATTTGTTTGAATCCTTTGGGTTTACTATGATACAAGAAAATAAATTTCTGCTATTGGATTTAGTATTTATTTCGCTTGAAAAGTCGTCTGCATTTAGGAGCATAAAGTCGTCTGCATGCAAGCGTTTGGTATATTCATTCCATCTCAATTTCAGACGATATATCAGGGAATTTGCATTTAAATGTTTCCTTATCGACTAGCGCAACCTGGCCAAATACACTTCAATTAAAGTGACAGCAGTTTTATCGAACTGTCTGGGAGTGCTGCGTGATCGATAAGCAAAAAATATATACCCCCCTCTCTCTCCACCATCACTCCCTCTCTCATGTCCAAGTTAACAACACATTTCGAAAAACGCTGAGTCAGCCGCGTCTATTTTACCATGGCATCGAACTTGTCACCAAATTAAGAAAATAATTGTCCTTGGCCAATCAATAAATACAACAGATGCACCACTAAAATTAATTATTTCCGTCGGTAAGATCAAAGGATATATCGATTCCTGGATTTACGTATTTTTTCTTGTCAGTTCGCTCGTATATTATCGAGGCATAAGCTTGAAACTGTACAGTGTATGTCAATCTAAGATCGTTAAAGTCTTGTGGGAGATCGTGTCACAGATTAGCCCTTACTGAGTGAGTTGATCTCAACGAATGGAGAAAACTCAATGAAATATGTTTTCTGGTAAGTATGTAGGTAAATATTTTCTTACAAATGAAAGATAATTCATCATACGGAATGACATGATTTATAGATACTGAGTTATTAAATATATAGGGGGGGATTCAATTATATCTATGGAAAGTATGGTTTGTTACTTTTTTTCCACAATTTCTCCGGTCGTGAATGACAACTACAGGGGTTCATACCAAACACTCAATTTTTGTCATTAGTGAAATGTTTTCATCATGTTTCTTCAATGGTAGCATATTTTCGACCATCTGTTTATTCTTACAAGTACCGGGAACAAAGTTTCGTTCTGCTGTCTCGCTGCACAACATAAAAACTGCACGATTTTCACAAGATGCACAATGGTAATTAGGCGTTTAGGGACTTGAAGTTTTTATACATGATAATTGCCATTCGAAAAGAAGATATTTGAAATCCAGGAGAACATAGAACAAAGAATCTGAGCGAAACACGGTTCGGTGTTGGGGGGGGAGGGGTATATCATAAGTTTTTTATGTATAAGACATAATGAATATCTCTTCCTTCTCGATAACATGTAAATTAACTTTAGAACATGACTTACATTGTAACCGTCATGTATAGGAAAGATGGTGTATATCAATGAACCATTATTGCGATGTTAATTTGCATATGATTATCAGTACATGTATGTCCAACTGAACTAGGCTGGCAGATATCTTTGATAACTTTCATTTGTTATTACAAAATATTGACACTATATTATCTGTGTAACATTGTTATTTTCTTTATCTGGCATTATCTAATCACTTATTCAATTTATTGTGTATGCAGACGACAAATTTTTATTGTGCAAGATACACAAACCACATGATGACACTGTAAATACTCTAAAAAGGAGTTCTATACATGTAATCCGAGTGTAGAAGACATACAAGGAAATATGAAAGTTTCGGGGTAAAATATGAAAAAAATCGTCCGTGAAAGTTACCGCTATCGAGAGATTAGTCGGGACTTGTACAAAAAGATACATGTACAGAAAACAGTCCATAAATAATCTTATCGTCTCAAACTTTAAAAGGTCAGTGTGTAGATAAGTGATTTATCGTCTGATAGGAGGATATCATCTGTATTTTATAGGTTAGTTTCAAAATAAATTAGGTGACTAGGATCAATTTAAAAGTTCGCCATTGTGTTCAATACATCCATCGACATACAAGATAATGGGGAAAAAATCAAAACAAGAATGTTTTACATAGCAAAATGTCCCCTGCTTCGAGCGTCAATCATCTGTCTTAATTGAAATGACAGTTCACGAAAAACGATTCCGCTCTTTAAAACAAAAGAGAAAAAAGAGAATGTAATGTAAACACTTAATGTCAGATTGTCTAGAAACCATGTAAAGCGTTACTATTTATAGCATTGCACGTGCATTTTGATATCTTTGGCACCACTGAGTCTTCACAGCACGGCTCGCTAGAAGGACACGATGCATTTGAGAATTGGCTAATTAAGTCTTTGATTACAGTTTCTTCGGCGGATCATGTGACATGATGGTGGGGTTATTAGGACTACATTGGCCGATCCGAGGCGTAAATCGACCGTAATTCAGCAGACGAAACGTGTGCATTTCTGCGTGCAATGTTTGTGTCATGAAACCAAATGCATGCATGTTTTACACATGACGATTTTATTTTGTTAAACAAACAGAACAAAGTCGAAAATTTCATTCGAGTTAAAAAGTTTATCATGAATATTGTGTGTACTTTTATAAACCCTCTTACTTTTAAGCCCACTTAAACCAAATTTAACGCATCGGTGTGATTCTCAAACATAAATGTCGTCTCAAGTGAAGAAAAAAATTGTTCAAACATTGTAATATAGTTGGTAATGTATAGTCCTATTATGCAGTGACAGATGTGTAGTGTATTTGTTCGATTTGTGTTGATATGTTAGACCTATCGATCATCGACTGATCGAAGTCCAATTAATAATTGATCATAGATACGTCTGTGTGTAGTGTGTAATAAAATACATTTGTGAATATGATACTGCATTAAATACATGTGTATATAGAATGGAAACTACGTCAATTAATGCACGTCAATGAATGAATGACGTGTCAGTAATGTGACACAGTTACTAGTATAAGAAATTAACGTTTCTAAAAAATGTGAAGAAGTCTGCTTAACTGTTCCTCTGTCACTGATGCTCCTGCTGACATTTAAAAGGGGAGAGGGGTTTGTACTATGATTACACAATGTTACTTGCAAAGTCGGTAAGTCCTTGCCACTTCTCTAACAATACAACAAAAACACGCCTTCAGCATGTAAATTTTGTCTATCATTTTACCTATGAAAGCTATTGAATGTCAAAGGAAGAGATATCTCTGAAAATTAAACACTTCGTGTGTAACATTGGGTCATATCTCAACTTTGTATATATAACACGACATAACAGATACGTATTTAGGCCCCACAGCTATTTGTCTACCACTGATTTTCAAAACTTGATAAAGGACCTTACTTCTTTTGACGTATATCCCTAAAAAGTCAACTTGAAATACTTGTAGAAAATTAACGAAGAATTTAAGAAACAGAAAAAGACCTTTTACAAACTAATCATGTGAAACGCGTGTCTTTAAGATAATGTCATTTAAAAGTCCTCATTTACGCGAGAAAATCGTGCTATTTATAGAGGAAATGAAGTTAAAATGGGTTTACACAAAACTGGTAGTTAAATGTCTATCAAATACGAAAGGTTTAATTGTGTTCGTCTTAAATTCAAAACCAAAATTGTATACAAAAACCATAAATCCTACAGATACATTAGGTATTGTCGATATTTCTCAATGCAAGTTAACAAAAGATCTTATTATAAATGAATCAGTGAGGGAAAATAACCAATTAGTGGTTTTTCTCTATTCTAGACTAAAGTATACTTGAATATAAAGCAATTTTCCACAATGCCATTTGAAATATGTAATTAATCAGAAGTAAAAAAAAAAGAATAAAAAAAAGAGTATTTCCCTTTCATTTTTTTCTTTCTTTCGTTTTCAACATAATACTTTGATCGATGTTTTTCGTATTATAAATCTTTAATCTCCCCATAATCGTTTGATTCAAAAGGTAAATACAAAAAATAGCTACAAAAAATCAAATCGATTTCTGACTGAGACAAAAATAATATACATGTATACATGTATCTAAGTCTTAAACTTGAATTTTCAGGACTTAAAACTTTTTTTTCATGTTATCAAGAAGGAAATGAAATATGTCGTGCAGATAGACTGTATGTGCGCTAAGTCTTTATTTACAATACCCATTACATGATTTTTTTGGCAATTATGCCAATCCAGTTAAAACAAAGGGACACGTTTTTTGTAAACCTTGAGTTTGTCAAAAGATTTCATATTAATCATAAAAGAAAAGAAATACTCCCAGTCACGTTACTTTGCCATGTAATCAGTAATTTACTTATGCTTAAATGTATTTGTATATATTATGAAAGCTGTATATGACTTTTTTGAGAGATAATTTGCACACAAAAATAGGTTTTTATTCATATTACAAATTAATCTAGCCGACAATAAAAAAAAACAGATTCCAGCCATTTAAAAAACAGACCTACATAGTAAGATAGAGGCTAAAAGTCAAATCCCAAAAGTTCTCTTCTGAAGTTTATAGTAACTGTAGTAACACTTTTAAGTAATTTACACACAAAGGCTGTCAATAACAATTATATGGCACGTGCTGCTCGTGGCAGTGACCAATTCTGCCTCTTTTTCTTGACAACTCTACAACCCCTTAGGACAAATATTCCCACTAATCTAGTTTTGCAGACCATAACATATAATCAAACAAGATTATTATCGGACTATAATAAACGACCATAGAACGATATAAAGTTGCGACATGAGGTCCTTATTTTTTTCTCATCAATATAAAACACCACATTTCTGCTTCAGAAAATGTAATCATTTTGTAATGTCAAGCAGACAACATCTGTGAAATCAAATGTATTCACATCTTTAAAAAAAAAAATACCACTGTGTTATTGGCGGAATACAGTTCATGGCCAAATATTTTATGGAAAGCTTTAAATAATATTTGTATATGAAATATTTTGAAAATAAAATTTAAAAAAAATCTAAACTGTACCTTTCCTAGAAGTTTTCCCCTGAGATAAGTAGTGTCTGTGTTTGAGTCATATATAATACAGTTTGGATCGAAATTTGAAATGTTCACCCCCTTAGAGTCTCGTCTCTTCATTGGGGCCACATTTGGTAGCCTGCCCTCCTTCATGTTTGCCAAATGAGGGTACTTGAACGCAGGACCCTGTGCCACCTTGGCTGGTAGTACATCAACTGACATCACCGCTTATAAGTCACAAGTCTGAACACTTTAAAATGAATTTTACACATATATTACACAGTTCTGTAGATAAAAAAAATACAATTTCACAATGTCAATTTTACATTGAAAAATAATTCACAACATTTAAATTCACCACAAAAGAATTTTTGTATTCCACTTTATATCGCAGTTTTGTTATAAAACGTTAAAACATATCATTATGATTCCAAACATTTCGTCTATTAAAATTTTGTCTACCGTCTTTTTCCCACGGCGGTTAAGAACTAACTGTCCAGTTCTGAAGTGCTCTGAACGAATTATAACGGAATTTGTCTAGCCCCGTTCACAGTTTATAATTCTCCAATTAATCCGTATCCGTTAATCTTCCTAAAATATTTCTTTTAAATATAAAATAAACACCTCTTCAAAAGAAAGAATCATTCGCTATTAAACACTGAATGTCACACCTGTAAAATTGTACAGGTATTAACAATGTACATGTATACACCTTGACAGTCAGCTGTTAACTGAAAGTAGATCGAGGTTTTCGTGATGTCATAATCTTTCACGGGAATTCCCTGTGCATTCGTCCGTGGATCGTTTCGACCCAGTGAAACTAAATAGTATTTTATACACAAAGAAAAATGTGTTTAAGATTGCGCGTATTTATTTTAATTCTGTGATAACGTGGTAATAGTGATTTCATATTTCACACGATACTATTCCAGAAACAGCTGCATAAACAATTTAAATTGCTATTAAAGAACATGTCAGATTTTAAGTTTTGTGAATTAGAAACACATGTACCTACGCGAGAAGTTAATGAGTTGTAACCACCGACACAGAAAGTTTTAGTAATTAATAAAAAAGTTACAAAATGTCTAGGGAATTCTACCGACGACCAATTTGTCACGCACGTGTAACTCTAAGCGTCAAGCACACACCACTGGGAGTAAGAAATAAATCGGATAATTCTCCGAGCCCCAGAGATCAGCCCGCATGGAACATTAATTGAATCTGTCAGAAGTTCATGCAGGACATTGGCCCGAGACCTCGAATATCTATAATATCTGAAAGAGAACCTAATTAAGTCAAATTAGCGTTAATTACAACCTTTATTAACTGGAGAAAAAAACCCTCCTAAAGAAAAGAAACAATGGAAATTGCCTACAAGAAAATAAATACCCATGTTTAAAGCTACAGTCTCACTTACATCCCGGCAGAGCCCCGGTAGATGTCCGGGGTGATCCGGGAACGACCGGGAACAACCGGGGTACATCCGTAACTCTGCCGGCAACGTCCTGGATGATCCGGGATGATCCGGGAACATCCGGCATTCGACCCCGGATGGAATAAAATATTTAATATCACCGGGGTGGTCCGGGATGATCCGGGAAGGTATAGCTTTGCCGGCTTCATCCTTAGCTCTGCCGGGAACGACCGGGGTTATACCGGGAAAGCACCGTAGCTCTGCCGGCACAAACCGGGGATGATCCGGGGTATGCTATAGCCGGTAGAGCTACGGTAGAGCTACGGTAGAGTCCCGGTATATGCCGGCAGAGCCCCGGTAACTACAGGCAGAGCCCCGGAGGATTAAGGTAGAGCTACGGTTGATCCCGGTAGAGCCCCGGTAGAGCCCCGGCAAAGCCCGGATCATGTCAAACGAATAAGGACAATTTGCGATGGTTGAACTTGTTTGTATTAAAAGCCTTCCCATTTCCCTTCTATCCAGTATGGCATTAGGATTTTTCAGAAAATCATCATGAATTACTATTCTGGAACAATAGATATTGTATTAAATAAAAATTATGTATCAAACTGATCATTTTCGGGCGTTTTCAATCCACCGGGGTTCTACCGGGGCTCTACCTGGATCGTCCTGGGCTCTGCCGGGGCTCTGCCTGGATCGACCGGGGCTCTGCCTGGGTCAACCGGGGCTCTTCCGGCGTCATCCGGGAACGACCGGGGAAGCACCGGCATGAACCGTAGCTTCACCTGGGCTCTGCCTGGATGATCCGGAGCGCATCCTGGGTGGTTAGTAGGGAACTACCGTAGTGCTGCCGGGGTAAGTGTGACCGCGACAATAATTTCATCCCGGATCGTCCCGGATCATCCCGGTAACTTACCGGGATGGTCCTGGGCTCTGCCGGGAGTAAGTGAGACCGAGGCTTAAACAAAAACTGTCTTTTTCTTTATTTTAATACTAAGATCGTCAATCATATATATGTAAGCATAAAATGATGTCTCAGATCGCATAGGCTTTGTAACAAACAGACTGTATACATTATTTTGAATAAAAAAGGTCAGAAAGACATAATTTGCACGTGCATGTAATCTTATTGCATTGTATAGCAACCTGGTGCACCATGACATTCTGAAAGTTAAAAATGGCCCAAAGTGTTGGAATCCAAATACTTAATATATTAATAGGGAGATCTTTCTCCCTGTCATTGCTATTATGCATTTGCAATTATAATAATTGCTGTCAGCGGTAATTAATCGATATTGGCAAATTGCATGCACATATATATATATATTAATCAAGTTGGCAATTGTGCAACAGGAGAAATAACGAAAAATGTCGATATTCAGCTAATATCTATAAGCGAACGACAGCGGTCACTAATTAAACAATACACACAAACCTTTGCCCGGCTATGTATATATAAGATATAAGTCACACGTGTTTTATTAATATATTATACAAGGTAATCAATAGGTGATGATATGTAGTTGTTTAAAGGTGATGACACAACGCTTAGTGTCATTTTAACATTCAGTTCATTATTTTATCAAAGTTGACATTTACTTCCATACGTTTGACACATTTCCTTATCAATTTAATGCAAATGTGTTTAATTAATTCGTACATTTAACAACTTTTACGACCAATTATGCAACAACCTGTATATTTTATAATGATTGAAAATAAGGGTCAGGAATTTAACACATACTTACGATGTAAATAGTCATTTTTATACACTATGACACCGTTTATTCTAAAAGGGGAACAGTAAATTTTGTCTCGAGAAAAAAAATCAGCAAATTTAATTACTTTAATTATCTAACACATTTATATTACCTATAAAGCAGTTCATAATGCCAGACATATAACGATATTAAGTTTTCATAATTAGACATGAAAATGTGATTTTTGGCTTATAATTTGGTTGGTTTGTATTTAGATATCATTATAAAGTTGAAATGTTTATGTTGATATCTCAGAGGTTTTTCCTTATATTGCTATACGATCCCTTTTTCCTGTTTTAAAGAGACTCCACGACATGACATATTTTGGATGCTAGCATTAAGAGGTTCAAATCCCGCCAAGACAAAGTGGTATGTGAAATAAAGAAGTCATTAGACATTGTTAACAAAACTGTCTGCCTGATATAATACTTGTATATTTTCTTTATTGTCTCGATGATATCAAACATTTCTTTATTGTCTTGCTGATATCATACATTTCTTTATTGTCATGATGACATCATACCTTTCTTTATTGTCTGGCTGATGACATATATTGTTTATTGTCTAGCTGATATCATATATTTCTTTATTGTCTTGCTAATATTATACATTCCTTTATTGTCTGGCTGATACATACATTTCTTTATTGTCTTGCTAATATTATATATTCCTTTATTGTCTGGCTGATATCATATATTCCTTTATTGTCTGGCTGATATCATATATTTCTTTAATGTCTGGCTGATATCATATATTTCTTTATTGTCTGGCTGATATCATATATTTCTTTATTGTCTTGCTAATATTATATATTCCTTGATTGTCTTGCTAATATCATATATTTCTTTATTGTCTGGGTGATATCATACATTTCGTATTGTCTTGCTGATATCATATATTTCTTTATTGTCTTGATGATATCATACATTTCTCTATTGTCTGGCTAATATCATATATTTCTTTATTGTCTGGCTAATATCATATATTTCTTTATTGTCTTGCTGATATCATATATTTCTTTTTGTCTAGCTAATATCATATAGTTCTTTATTGTCTGGCTGATATTATACATTTCTTTATTGTCTGGCTGATATCATGATTATTTATTGTCTTGCTGATATAATATGTTCCTTTATTGTCATGCTTATATCATATATTTCTTTATTGTCTTGCTGATATCATACATTTCTTTTTGTCTAGCTAATATCATATATTTCTTTATTGTTTGGCTGATATCATATATTTCTTTATTGTCTGGCTGATATTATATATTTCTTTATTGTCTGGCTAATATTATACATTTCTTTATTGTCTAGCTGATATCATATAGTTCTTTATTGTATGGCTGATATCATATATTTCTTTATTGTCTGGCTGATATTATACATTTCTTTATTGTCTGGCTGATATCATGATTATTTATTGTCTTGCTGATATAATATGTTCCTTTATTGTCATGCTTATATCATATATTTCTTTATTGTCTTGCTGATATCATATATTTTTCTTTATTGTCTGGCTGATATCATATAATTCTTTATTGTCTTGCTGATATCATATATTTCTTTATTGTCTGGCTGATATCATACATTTCTTTATTGTCTTGCTAATATAATATATTCCTTTATTGTCTGGCTGATATCATATATTTCTTTATTGTCTGGCTGATATCATATATTTCTCTATTGTCTGGCTGATATCATGATTATTTATTGTCTTGCTGATATCATATGTTCCTTTATTGTCATGCTGATATCATATATTTCTTTATTGTCTTGCTGATATCATATATTTCTTTTTGTCTAGCTAATATCATATATTTCTTTATTGTCTGGCTGATATTATACATTTCTTCATTGTCTTGCTGATATCATATATTTCTTTATTGTCTGGCTGATATCATATAGTTCTTTATTATCTTGCTGATATCATACATTTCTCTATTGGCTTGCTGACATATTCTGGAGATATAAATATCATTTTCTGATCCCTAATTTGGTTTATATACTAGTTGCTTATTTATTGCAGTTGTAACATATTAGTAAATTCATTATCAACCACAAAACATTTTGAATATATTTTTTTTAATAATATAGTAATATTACTAAGCATGGACATGCATTTAAATTAGCAAACAGAAAGTTGCTTTGTAATTGTTGACAGATTTTTGTTAGTTTTTGTTCAGTTAATTCAATAAATAAACTACGCCCTCTGAAGATTGTCAGTTGTTTTTTTTAGAAGAAGTGCATGGATATACAGCAGTTGCCAAGGCCCAGGGGTGACCCTTGTTAATTCTCATGCCTATCATACAGCACTGGGGAATGGGACCTCGATTTTAAAGGTCTTTAATACAGAAGGCCATAATTCTAGCTTTGTAACTGGTTGAGTTGGGTATTTGACATAGTTTAAATACTTGACCACTGGACCACTGAACAGCCGACACCACTACCAATTTGTTACCAAAAAACAAACAAAAAACAACAACAGTTTGTTACCACTGGACCACTGAACATCTTGTGTCAGACTAAAATGGAATTGTATGATAAGTATGCATTTATATAAATGTTTGA